AGTTGAGAAATGAGCTTGGAGAGTCAGCTGGCATGGACTGTTTGATAGAAAAGGACCTCCTAGAATCAGGATGAACTCAGGGCATTTGGGACTGAAGAAGGAGAATAGACCAATGGAGCAGAGAGATTAGAGAGGAAAAGAGGTAACTGACAGTATACAGTTGCAGCATAGATCAGAGTTGGAGGAGTGGACCTGGAAAAGATGAGTGGCATCTTTTTGTCTGGAGAAAGAGAGGTGAAGATAAAATTAAGCTAGAGAAATGGAAAGGGAGATAAGGGAAGAATATACTTTATGATTCTGTATATTATTATTATTATTGAGACGGAATGTCTAGGCTGGAGTGCAATGATGCGATCTCTGCTGACTCCACCTCTGCCTTCCAGGTTCAAGCAATTCTCCTGTCCCAGCCTCAAGAGTAGCTGAGATTACAGGTGCCTGCCACCATGCCCAACTAGCTTTTGTATTTTTAGGAGAGATGGGGTTTCACCATGTTGACCAGGCTGCTCTCAAACTCCTGACCTCATGTGATCTGCCCACCTCTGCCTCCCAAAATGCTGGGATTACAGGCATGTGCCATTGCGCCAGCTGGTTTCTGTATATTAGATGATGTCCTAGGCCACAGCTGAGAGGACTGTCTAGATTTGAGGAGTATATTCAGCCAGGAGCAGCCGATGTTGAGATGAGAACTGAGCAGAGAATGGCAGAAGGACTGCCAGACTACTATGAGGCTGGGGCACCTGTTGAGGTTGGGCCACATGTAAGTGGTGATGCCAGGCAGGGGCTTCAGAGCTGTGGGATGACCCCCCCTCAGGAAGTGGCAGCATCCATGTGACAAAAGGCTAAGGCTGCATGTGCTGTACCAGGCAGGGCTTTTTGGATACAAGCAAAAGAGCCTGACTCTAGCTACTTACGTGACAGGAGGCTCTTTTAGAAGGCGTTGTGGGGCTTGTGTAATTTAGACCCCAAAGGATCAAGCTTGGGAAGGCATAGGAGCCACTTCAGTCCCTGAAGCCTATAAAGGAGACATTTTTGGGAGGTTTATAATGGTATAAATGAACTCCCAGCTTGTTTATTCCATTCTCGTGTCACCTTTCTTAGGATTCAAAATCCTGAGAGAGCCAGATTGACCTGGCTTGGATCAGGTCTCTGTTTACTGCCTTGAGGAGAGCTGAGATCCACTGGTCTATCAGGGGTCCTTGCTGAAGGGAGCAGGTGTTAGTGCTGGGCAGCCTCAATGGAACCACCTGGGTCTACCTCTGGGTTTGAGGGTGCTGGGAATCGCATAATGTAAATGAAGTTTAGAATGAAGAACCTGCTTAGCAAATTCGTGAGGGATTCAGTTAGGTGACAAAGAAAGGTTCCTATAGAAAAATCATTTTTTTGTTTAGTCAAAGATAGTATCACTGATACGTTTATCATCTTCTAATTAAGGTCAGGAGGAGTTAAGGTGCCTTTTAATTTCCTTTTTTCCAGTGTTTCTGGAATAAAAACCCAAGGAGAACCTATCAATCAGGGCATATGATCTATCAGAAAGGTATTTGAGAAAAGCATGTAAGACCTCATGGCTTTCTTTAGTGGGCCAAAGTGCATAGCAGTCATGGTCCGAAGTAATAGGGAGGCGTGGGAAAGAAAAATAGTCCCAAATGTCGAAGAGAACCACAGTGGGTGTTTGTGGGGACTGGAGGTCTGAGTTAGAATATCTGCCAAGGAGCTTTAGAGTTTGCTGCTATTCAACGTTCCCACTCACTGACTTTCCACCACTATCAAAGGAAGTATTTTAGTTCAAAAGTAGATTATGATATGTGCTGAACTCCCCAATTAAGTGAATTTTACGTAAAAATAAAAATTTCTAATCGGATGAATTTAGGGATCTTGGCCCTGTCAAAAATAATTCTACACTTTTTTTGGAAGGATCCATGGCAAATTGTCTAAGTTGCACAAATTCGGTTGATGTCTACCTCTTCAAAAACAAAAAAAACCGATATGCTCTGTATTTTTTAAAGCTTGAGATGGTTTTTAAAAAGCTAGTCATTAACTACTTTAGAACGAGTTGAGTAAGCTAGAATCAGCAGAAAGGCAGAGTTTAATCTGAAGATCATTGAAACAGGATATAGAACGAACTTTAACCTGAGGTTATGACCAAGTCACCAGATGGATATGAAAAGTGGCCCATACAGTGAGGTTGATGTTTTGGAAAGTATGTTCCAAGGTGAACAGGACCTGATCCAAAACGGCATTTGCAGAATTGTGCCATGAAATGTGGTAATACAGTGTGACATGCCACCAGGGAACAAAGGTTTGCTTAAAACAAGCTCTCTTCCCTCAAGGAACTCACAGTAAAATGGAAAGACAAGGGCAGACTTCAGAAGAAAATAAATGATAAAAGACAGCCTTTGATTTATGCCAACTAAGAGGAGAGAAAATTAATAACTTTTGACTTCCTCCCAGGTAATCCCTGGGGCTTCTCTGAATTAAAAAGAGACAATACCAAAATGTATTTATAATTCTTTAAAGGGCATTAAATAAAGCTAAAGTTATTTGCAGTCTCATTTGTTTAGGATTTTCCTGGGTTTCTTCATTTATTAATATGAAGTGTGAACCCATCCTGTAAAATATTTAGAAACTAAATAAAAACTTTGAATATAAAAGAAGATAGCAAAGCTATATAGCAGAATAAAAATAAATTGAAAATCAAGCCTGTAGGTGTTTTTTTTTTTTTTTTTTTTGCCTATTCTGTGCCATGTGTAAAATGGTATAACAATTACAAGGAGACCCTACCCTGGGCAGCTCTCCCTTTGGGGACCCTTGCTGGGTCTTTTAAAGGCAGTTGGTCCAAATGAGACAAAGCCACAGGGAAGTACATGACTGTTCTGAGCACAGCCTCCAAAGTGTAGAAGTCAGACATGGCTCTGGCTAAAGGTTGAGAGGACCAAGAGAAGGCTTAAGCATGAATTCTTAACTTTGGTCAGGTATCAGGAGCCAGATTCAAACCAATTGCGTCCTGAAGAACTAATATGACTCCCTAATAACTTAAGATACAATTTCGGGCAAATGAGCCAGATAAATGCATAAAACATGAGCAAGTGGAACTAGGAGGGTTAGCCCCTGCCTCCTCAGAGACGTTTTGAAGTCTCAGGGCTGGAGAATAGTATTAGAACTGGAAGGCATCCTGGGAATCCAAGCCATCATCAGTTGATAAAACATTTTGTGAGGAATATAGTTAATGGCAAGATCAAGAGAGGAACAGGCTCCAATTTCTTTGAAATTTCCAACTTCGATCATTTTAAATTTGATATAAAATCTTTTATATCCATTACTATTTGCTAGGAAAGCATTAAGAATGAGCTTGACTTTTATCAGTTTTTATGTGGGTTTCATAGGCTGACATAGTAGATACACATTGAAAGTTCTAATCTAGCAAGTCATAGCATTTTATTTCAACTAATCAATAAAATACTCTGTATAGTGGAACTTGATAATGCTCACAGGGGCTTTAGCTGCTTTATAACATATACTCAGGTCCTAGTAAACTTTAGTCATTGTTTTATGACCATCTTACGAACCTTCATTCATTTGTTTAATTAATGCATATTTATGGCTGTGTGCCAGGCATGTGCCAACCTATGCCTAATTCATCTTTGCATTCTCCAGGACACAGTGTATTGCACATACATACCAGCCTATAGATACTTGTTAATTAATAGTTGAATGACTGTTATCTTAGTGCAAATTCATTGTCTCATTACCAAGAACTGAAATCTTGCCTACTGACAGCCTTTGCCATAGCCACAGCTGAATGCACATTTTTTTTAAAGGATCCTGTTGCTCAGGCAACAAGATTTCTCCATGTCTGGCTTGCCTCCTGTTGCCAAGGCAACAGGGTATAGTTGGCAGGCTGGTTTGAACATTGGATGTTTGTGGTATCAGAGATGCCTGTGGTTCACACCTTTTTTGATACATCAGTGTATGCATGAATGTATTTGACAGTGTGCTTCTAAGTCTTTTTTTTTTTAGACAGAGTTTTGTTGTTTTGCCCAGGCTGCAGTGCAGTGGCATCATCTCAGCTCATTGCAACCTCCACCCGCTGGGTTCAAGCGATTCTCCTGCCCCAACCTCCCTAGTAACTGGGATTGCAAGTGCCTACCACCATATCCAGCTAATTTTTGTATTTTTAGTAGAGACACGGTTTCACCATGTTGGCAAGGCTGTTCTCAAACTCTCAACTTCAGGTGATCCACCCACCTGGGTCTCCCAAAGTGCTAGGATTACAGGCATGAGCCACTGTGACCGGCCTCTAAGTCTTTATATGTAAAGATGATTGTGGATGCTTGTGATCATTCAGCATTATACTTGTGACTGGAAAGACCTTGTGTATTTTCAGGACCTGTGGATTTTGCCTCCTAAAACCAGAACTCTTCTTATTTTTAGTTGTAGCTCTTCTCCTTCCATCTTTTTCATAATCTGTATCTGGTTTTACTTTGGTTGAATAAATACTGCATGATTACTTTTTGCTAGAATCAACCTGGCCTATCTGCCAGGGTCACAGCAGTCTTAAAAACCAACCAACCAACCAACCAACCAACAAAAAAACCATTGTCAATAAGACCACTTTGTTTCTTCTCTGTGATAGTTCTGTACTTCCCTGGCTAATTGCTTATTTGTTTCTAGCTGTTATTGGAGTATCAGGGGATAGCCACAGGAGCATTACACTACTTTATTGTCATATGCCAACTCTATCAACGTTTTAGGTAAATAGGAGAACTCAAAGCTACATAATGTTGCTTATTCATACAGGCCATATTTGTGAATGTCACTGCCTGAAAGAGACCTTCAGCTATAAAATCCTCATTCGCTCACATGGTGTGATTGCAGTAGTTTCCGATTGCATTACCTTACTATTATAAGCCAAGCCTCTCATTTCATAAGGTTTAATTATTTTTATCAATATCAAATAGTGCTGATACTTTTCACAATTGAATTGAATTATGGAATACACTTACAATGCATGTGAAAATGTTTTCTTTGTTGAGATACGTATTTCAAGGAATTCTTATGAGAGATGAAATTCTAGGGCTTCATCTTCTTGGTCAGGACTCCACTGCAAAATAATTATCCAAATAATTCACCTTGCTCTTGACTTAATTCAGTGAAAAGTCTATTTAAAAAATTACAAAGCTAATGCCTGCATTATCCTCTTTACCTGTTAGTGGTTTTGGGTGGAAGTTGTAGGCTAACATTCATTTTCAGCACTTGAGTTTCTCTTTTGCCTGATGAGGTCACGCTGGGTCTGAATGAATTCCAGATGAGGTCACACTGGGTCTGAAGAGAGCTGGAAGTGAATGGCCTTTTAGAATTCTTTCAACCTTCCGTTTTTCTGAAATTCTTCCATCAGCTTGAAGTGCTGTTGGTCAATGCCCATTTCAAAATTTTCAGAGGACACAAACTGTAATATGTCTCTTCACCAGAAACTATTTCTGGAATGTTCTCTGTGTGAAACCACTTTAGCATATTTTCCAGCTTGACATACGATGGGAACATCACCCTCAGTAGCCATAATACTCTACTGGGCATAAACATTCAATGTGGTTCAATCTAGAGGCAGACTTCCCCCAGGCTCTGCATAATTTCAACCATTTGTCCATCTGTGAAACCAACAATTGCATAGTTAAAAGCTGTCACTTCCGGTCACAATGAGTCTGTTCTATTTTGAAATTTCAGATGACTGTATTTTCTTGTGGTTAATGATATAATTTTCAGAGAAATTGACATTTCTTTTTCCTGCTATCTCTATGCACTCTTGTAAGTTCCAAGACCATGGAAACTACTTATTTTCACCATCTCATCTCCAGTGTCTAGCACGGTGGCTACACATTGTGGCCACTTACTAAATATTTCTTGAATGAATGAATGTATAATGGTTCTTTTTAAAGATTCCCTAAAGTTTATGAAAGAGGAATTTGAAATTTTATAAAGCAACAGCAAAGGAGGCAGCAGCTCAGCATTGTCAGGGTGTTCTATGTCACATATCCTCCAGCACACACTATGCATAACATTTGTTAATACCTAAAAATGTTTGAAACGTTAGATTCTTCAGGACACCTAGAATAGTCATCTTGCAAACTCAGCATGTGAGTGATTATCAGCTTTTCAAGAACATGCATAACCTGTTGGATGCAAGTTTCACACAAGTTGCATTTTTATTCAGTTTTTAAGAGAGTGGGATTCAGGAGGTATTGCAGGTTTAGCAGCTACATGGCAAGAATGTAATATGTGTATGAAGACAATAACCAACACCTAAGGAAGGGCCTGGACCACATTGGGAAATATGGAGGCCACCAGGCACATGTGACTCTCGAGCAGCTGAAATGTGGCCAGTGCAACTGAGGGACTAAATTTTTAATTTCATTTAATATTAATTAAAATGTAAAATTATAAGATATCTCAATTTTTATATGTTGAAATAATATTTTGGATATTTTTTATAAAATAAAATAGATTGAGTTCACTTTATTCTTTTTACTTTTTAAAAAATGTGGGTACTGGCAAACTTAAAGTTATGTTTGATGCTTACCATCGGTTTCTATTAGACAGTGCTGGCCTCATCTAGAAGGCTAAGGGGCAAAGGTATTTGGAAAGCATTTGCTGGGGTATGGCATTTGTGCAGGCATATGAGGAGCTGGAACAGATGCTCTGCTCCTTAGCTCAGCCCTGAGGCTGCTTGCCTACACATGGGCACTGCTGTGATCATGCCTCTTTTTAAACTTTCTGAGGGCAGAATCAGTTTCATTTCTTTTTTAAAACATGCTCCTTATCCTAGGGTCAGGGAAAGTATATAAACTGTTAAAGGCTGGCAGGTTCCATTTAATTTTCAAGGCTCTGGAAGCTTGTGCTCAGAGTGGAACAGAATATATTACGGGATCAGGAGAGTGCTAGCCTGGTGAAGGTCAAGAGGGAATGGGAAGGAATAGGGAAGAAACTCATAGGTGGAGGCAAAGATTTTGGTATTATTCTAGTGCTTAAGTTGGGTGGTAGGTAAATGAGTGCTAATTTTGTTAATGCTTAGTAACTCAGGTAGGTGTTGCATGCATGTATCAAAAATTCTATGATTAAAATGAAAGGGTTGGGGCAAGAGAATTATCAGTCGTGTTTACTTATATTTGAATTCCTGTATTTATTCCTAATTAGGAAATACCTATCATGTGCCTTATACATAGTAGTAGATGCTTGATATATTTTGTTGGATCGCATTAAATTTAAGAATGATTTTTATAACTTGTCAGGGCACAGATGTTTCTTATTTCACTCCAGAAAACTATTTTTTTTAAATGGCTTTAGGTTACAGTGGAAAAAGCAAGGCTGAAGATGATTGACAGATATCCCTGGTGGGGTCTAAAGCTATGGCCTCAAAGTAGAAGACACTGAGATCAACTTGTAAAATAATCAAATAACCTAGAATTTTGAGGCAAGGCAAACAAAGGATACTGATAACACTGGCCACTTTAAGAAAAATAATTATTTTCAATGCAAAAAGCATTTTATAGGAAGAGGCATAGGAGTTTTGTGTGTGTGTGTGTGTGTTTTTAATAAAGCAGGAAAAAATCATAGAAAATACTTTGTATAATATTTAAAATCTTTTATCTTTTTAATGCATAATCTGTATTTGAGTTTAAGTGTAACAAGAAAATTATTCAGGATCCTAAGATTTAGGCCTTTAGTCCTACTTAGAGCCTAAAAAACAGCTGTGGTGGGATGGTTCTGCCATTCGCCAGTAGGATGTCAACTGCACTATGTGTTGCAATATATTTATTTGCTTGTTAATTAAACTCTTGAGAGCATCTTGAGGGAAAATAGTCTTTGTTTATATTTATAATGTAGACCAAAGCAAGATGTAGGCTTTTAGTTCGTCAAATCCAAGTTGAACAAGTCATTGTAATGGCCTGTAATTCTGTTCTCAGGGACTTCACCGGAGGAACAGGATCAAGAGCAAGACCAGGTAACTTAGTGTTGGTAGCAATAAAATCAAACTCAACTCTCTAAAATTCAACGTGATTTATGTTACAGTTTTATATCTTTCCCCCTTTTATTTCTTCAGCTTTGCTGCCTCTTGACCTGCTTCTGAAAGTGCCACCCCTCATGCTCAGGGCCCACGTTAAGGAACTAGAGGCCGAGTTAGTGAGAGGGTGGCAGTCCCATAGCCTTCCTGCTGTGATTCTTCAGAATCTCAAAGATCATGGTAGTACTTACTAGATCACATTAACTTTAAACACACGATGGACAAATGCAGAATTATAGTTGGGCCTGAAATGTCTGAACAATGCTTGTGTGGTAGTTTTAATACGAAGAGCAGAAGAATTCTGCTCTGTTTGTTTACCATTATTAGTCTGCCAAGTTGATGATAACAAAATGCCTTCTGTGTTCACTTGTTGGTTGAGATATTATGGGCTGTTTTTTTCCAAAATTTGCATTTCTGTCATGGTGGGAATGTGACGCAGTTGACTTATTGATGCTTCAAGTACATACCTACAAACAAAAAATAGTAACCATGTTTTACGTCGGTATTTCTGTAAACTCTACACCTACATGATACATGTAGAGTGAAGAGAAAGTCGTATTTTTTTCTATCTCCTCTACTCCGACACAAATAATTGTTTTTTATTTATTTATGTTTCTTTTTTATTTCTGAGACAGAGTCTCGCTCTGCCACCCAAGCTGGAGTGCAGTGGCACAATTTCGGCTCACTGCAACCTCCACCTCCCAGGTTCAAGTGATTCTCCTGCCTCAGCCTCCCATGTAGCTGGGATTACAGGTATATACCACCATGCCTAGCTAATTTTGGAATTTTCAGTAGAGATGGCATTTACCATGTTGGCCAAGGTGATCTCGAACTCCTGACCTCAGGTGATCCATCTGCGATTAAAACATTATTAGGAAATATTGTTTCCCTAATAACTGAAAAATAGATCCTTAAACATAAAAGTTTCTAATAAGCATTTGGGAAAAATGTGTTAATTAATGTTTCTAACTTTTGTTAAAGAGGACCAAAGTCTATTGGTAACATTAAAATTATTAGCTAAACCCAGACAATTCAGAAAAAGTTTAATGATTATGCTTTTATTATACATGTAAGTGTACAACTCTTGAGCGTAGCTTTCTACTTTACTGTTGGTTAATTTTTGATTCACATTATTTTGTAGAGCTAATGTGTATAGTGAATATTGGCAAACTGATTTAGTGTAATATTAGCCCATGTCTCCACATTTATTAAATTTGCTTTGGAAGAGTTATTGACAGTTTGGGGTCATTACACCATCAGCATAGATGCCAAAAATGATGGTTTTATTATTAAGATGCCTGAAACTATCATGTTGGACATGCTCTGCTCCTGTTATTTTGGCAAAGGTAAGTTCAAAATGTAATCATGAAATTAAAATAATTGTTATTAATTGATTTTATAACAGCAAGAATGGAACACAGATACATATCTAAGAAATTAATAGTTCTGTCGTAACCCATGTTAGAAATTCTTTTTCCTAAACAGTATGTTGACTTAGTTCAGTGCCAGACTTGATTTTATGTCAGTGACACTGATCAGATCTCTGGACCTTTAAACCAACTATTTACATTATGGCCCAGTTTACATACATTTCTTTCTTATCCCTGCAGTTTGCTATACTAATTCTTTAAAATCTGCTGATTCATATATTCCTAAAACTTGTATCAGAATACACTAAAGCATTTATTTATTTACTTATTTTTGAGACAGAGTCTTGCTATATCACCCAGGCTTGAGTGCAGTGGTGCAATCTCAGCTTACTGAAGCCTTCACCTCCTGGGTTCAAGCGATTCACCTGTTTCAGCGGTCCAAGTAGCTGGGATTACAGGTGTCCACCACCATGCCTGGTTAATTTTTCTATTTTTAGTATAGATGGGGTTTTGCCATGTTGGCCAGACTGGTCTGGAACTCCTGACCTCAAGTGATTCATCTGCCTGGGCCTCCCAAAGTGCTGGAATTACAGGTGTGAGCCACCACTCCTGGCCATTTTAAGTGTTACCAGTGAGTGCTAAATTTTATTCATAAAAGGAGTGGTTAGATTTTACTAATGATGTAGAACACATTAATTCACAAGGGAGCGTTTGGATTACCCACTGAGAGTTATTCTACTTTACATGTCAGAAAATGAGACCTTTATTTTTCTCAACCTTAATACGAAGGGTTTTTTCCGTTAATTATAAAAGTCATACCTCTTAAGTGTTGCAAATAAAACTGGATAATTGGTTGTTTTATCAAACTGTAAACAACTGGCGCCAGTGCCATTCACTTAGGTTACCTTATCTGCAAATCATGCTCAATCCA